AAATATATCCAGAATCCAACCATTCCTCAGCAACTTCCACCTCTTCAACCTGGGCCCAAGTCATCCCTTTCTTGGGTTTTATTACAATAGATTCTCAACACAGTTACTGGATGCATTTATTTATGTTTAATATTTATTTATTTGGCTGCATTGGGCCTTAGTTGCAGCATGCAGGATCTTTGGTCTTTCTTTCAGCATGTGGGATCTAGTTTCTTGCCCAGAAGCCAGGCTCCCTGCATTGAGAGCTCATAGTCTTAACCCATAGACTGCCAGGGAGGTCCCACAGACCCATTTAAAATGCCACTTAGTTTATGTTTCTCTTCTGGTCAATCTCGTTAAAGGCTTCCCATCGCACTCAGAGTAAAAGCCAAAGTCTTTACAATGGACCTAACTGGGTCTTTCACAACATCTCTGACTTTAGCTCCTTGTACTATCTCCTTAACTTGCTGTCACTCAGCCATACTGCCCTCCTTCCTTATCTTTCTTCTTTTTCATCTGTTATACCATGTATTTACTTGTTTGTTTACCTTCTGTCTTCACCACTAGAATGTAAGTTCTGTAAAGGAAAGGATTTTGTTTTATGATTGTACCCCTAGCCCTAAAGAATGTCCAACACATAATGGGTCCATAATACATATTTGTTGAATGAGTGAATAAATATATAGGCATATTTTCCCCATTATTTGTCCCTAAACAAGTGGTTAAACTTTCCAGTTTTTCTGCTTACTATACTACTGCAATGATATAAGCAAACTGAAAAATTAAATGTGCTAATTGACATGAAAGGTTTGACATGACAGAGTTTAACAGGTTAGCTGTGCAGCTATACAATGATGTACACCATATGTATATGTATACCACATATGTATGTTTATGTATATAAATGTATGTATATGTGTACACACACACACATATATTTATATATAGATATATTTGATTCTTAAAAGTCAGTATGGATTTTGGATGATTTTCCTAATCTATATTGTCAATTGTTTATTAACAATTGTTCTAACACTTAAGGTATGGAAATTTCATTAAGCAAACCCACAACTTTAGAATATTTTAAGATTATATGCCAGAACAACAGCATGTGCTCTTCACATACAAAATGACAAAATGAAAATATTAACCGCATCCTAGAAATGTATTCTATGGAAGCAACGATGAACATGTACAAAAATGAGACTATAAGGCAGTTCACAGAAACACCCTATTTTGTATGTACAATATATACATTATATATACATTGTATTGTGTATATATGAATAATATATATACACACATATACATATATACCCTATATAACCACACTGTACCATTACTAAACAATCTAGTTTAGGAACTGCAAGGAATGCAGATTATCCAGCGATCCAAACTCCACAGCTTTTTTTCTCAGAGTACCAACAATCATCAATTCTAATTGTACTAATATCCTCATGACAAGGGTATGTCTTCTGTATACCCTGACAAATATTTCATCTGGCGTCATCTGCTCTGTATATTCAAAACTAGTTAGATTTACAGAACATTCCACACAGTAGCAGAATAAACATTCTTTTCAAGTGCACACACACACACACACACGCACACACACACAAATTAGATAAAAGTAAAAGTGAAGTCGCTCAGTCGTGTCCAACTTTTTGCGACCCCGCGGACTGTAGCCCACCAGGCTTCTCTGTCCATGGGATTCTCCAGGCAAGAATACTGGAGTGGGTTGACATTCCCTTCTCCAGGGGATCTTCCCAACCCAGGGATCAAACCCGGGTCTCCCGCATTGCAGGCAGACACTTTAACCTCTGAGCCACCAGGGAAGCCCATTAGATAAAAGGCAGAAAGCAAAACTACTGTCTGAACTGCCTGAACCATATATTTAAGGCATCTAAAATCATGGATCTCATGGTACTGTATTCAGTTAGTTGTGAACAATATGAATGGCCTTTCTGGTTCATACAGTCTCTCCCTAGTCCTTATCCACCTCCACCCCACTCCCAACCCCACAAAATTACACCAGTGCAGTAAATTTAAAAAGAAAAATAAACTGAACAACAATATAAACCTGGCAGAAATCTGAAATCACTCCAACTTCAAACTTTAAATCACTTGCCTAGTGACAGCAGCCCTCAGATGCACTGTGACTCAGCATTTTATGATGCCTGAAACATGAAATGAGATAAAGATCTTGTTCCCTTCGCGGCATTAGCTAAATATGGAGCTAAAATAAATGAGCTACCTTAAAAATACAAAGTCAGTGGCTGAAAATGTTACAGTGCTCACCCTGACAGAGGTTTGACTCAGTATGTGATGACAGGGAGGAGAGCATGTGTCAGCTGAAGCACACAGAACTGTTCTGAAATAACTTGTTGACCTATAACATTAGCAAATAACAATGCTGACTAAAATTAATGCTCAGAAATGGAGGAATTATTGTAAATAAATAAAAATATGAACTGTGACAACTGATTTAAGTCAGGTTAGTAAAGTAAATCTGACCTTGGTGGGAGTGGTGGTGATGGTGATGGTGGGACTTACCCAGCTATTCTTCACTAGAAAACAGAAGCTGAAATCTAACCAAGGGAAAATCCTTGCAAAAAAAAAAAAAATATATATATATATATATAGTAAAACTGGAACAGATAGAAGTTTGACTCTTTACAGACAGAAAGAAAATAAGATGAAAATAAAATAATAAACTATACAAAAGTTGCAATTCAGACAAAGTTTTTAGTTCATAATCTCATGTGGAACAGGAATGGATGGAGAAAGGAGAGAATCTGGTAATCAGCTAGCAGGGAGAACTGGATAGCCGAGATCACCAAGGACTGAGGACTATTCCACATAGGCAATGAAGGAAGTTGGGAAATTCCACTTGGAAAGCCAAGAATTTAGATAAAGACAATGAATAGAGATGTGGAGACAGTTTATAGGCAAATTGGCAAAAAAAGTTGCTAATACTCACTTGGTTTTAGCTTCTGTTTCCAGTACTGTATAACAACTGTTTTAATCATCAGAACAAGCCAATGATATAAAAACTATTAAACCCCATTTTACATGTGAGGCAATAGCCTCAGAAAAGTTTAGTAACTTGCTCAAGGTCATGTTGTTAATAAATGGCAGAGCCAGGTTACCAGCCTAGGTGTTTTACCTCCACCACAACTTTATATTGCCTCTTATGAACCACTCAAAATGTGAAAAGGAAGTGGAGGAATTGAAATTATCGGGGCCTTTACTGCATTCAAAACTAGACCATCTGCATTCAAAAACAGAAGAGTGAATTTCCCCTAAGGAGCCTACTAATGGAGCTCAGACTCACAGCAAAACACCATTCAAGTCCCACAAGCCAAGGTTAGTGGGAATTCAAATAAGATAGCAATGTTCAACTGGTTGTGGAGTCAAGAAAGTCTTCACTGAAAGAGCAGCATTTTGGTCAGGATTTGAGAAAAATGGAAGAGTTAGGTGAAAAGAGAATCATGACTTCAATTACTCCCCAGGGTTTTCAGGATAAATTTCAACCCCTTGGCATGGCACTCAAAGCCCTCCAAACTAGGTCTGGAGGAATGCCAAGGAGAAGTGGTTATCCTAAGTGAGATGCCTATGCTGGAGTCTTTATTACCATACTAGTTCAGTTTCCAAAGCATCAAAAGATGTTATTTTTTCTATTTCCATAAATCATTAGTGAGTTTAAAAGCTAAGCATTATGACTTATTCTTCTGTAACACTCCCCTCCACTAGAACAGGAGACCATACATCTTAGCACATGGTAAACAGTGAAAGTCGCTCAGTCTTTTCCGACTCTTTGCGACCCCATGGACTATACAGTCCATGGAATTCTCCAGGCCAGAATACTGGGGTGGGTAGCCTTTCCCTTCTCCAGGGGATCTTCCCAACACAGATATGGAAGGCTGGTCTCCCCCATTGTGGGCGGATTCTTTACCAGCTGAGCCACGAGATAAGTCCATGGCTAGGTGAATTGCAAACATTTTCTGAACCTAAATCATGGGCAACAATCACCAGATGACTGTGTGCCCAACCAGGCTGCTGATACCATCTAGATCTCTGATGTTGACTCATTTTAAAGTTATTATATACGAAGTAAGAACTTAGGCACTTGATCCAGATGTAAGGGGTGGAACTTGTGGATCTAGATGCCATGAACCAATTGTGAAAGGACATGGGACAATGGTGAAAATCTAAACAACAGTCCCTAAAAATTTTGTCTGCAATGCAGGAAACCCAGGTTCCATCCCTGGGTAGGGAGGATCCCAGGGATCTTCCTGGAGAATCTGCTTGGAGAATCCCATGGACAGAGGAGCCTGGCAGGCTCCAGTCCCTAGGGTCTCAAGAGTCCGACATGACCGAGCTACTAGGCTCAAACGCAGATTAGGAATTAGATGAATTCATTTCATTACATGTGGGGATGTAATAATGCCTTAAAAAATTATATGTATACACACAGAGTATTTATAAACGAATGGTTTCCCTTAAGACACTGTAAGTAGGGAGTATGGGGGAATACGTTAAACAAAATCGGCAAAATGCAGCTAACCGTTGAACAGTGTAATACACTATTTCTGATGAATGCTTGAAAATGTCCTAATATAAAACACCATTCAAGTCCTACAAGATGTTTTTCATCTTAAACCCGGAGGGAAACCATTCCTAGAGGGTCCGCGGGCGGCATCTTTAACTCTGAGGACGGCCTCCTCGAGCCCAGAACAGACTTTCTCTACGGCCGGACTGGAAGTGGACCGAAGGGGCGGGCGTGCTTCTTCATCCTTTCAGTACCCCCAATAAATGCCTCTGGAGAGAGCTAATGTCCCTGAGAGCCCCATGCAGAGTTAGTTCTCCGGGTTTCTACGCTGAACCTCATCTGGCGGCCCACAGCCTCAAACTAGTAGTACCCAGCATGCTCCCTCACCACCCACGACCCCAACGGTCCCCTGCGCTCGCGGCGGGCTCTGCGCAGCGACGTCACGGAGCGCCGTGCGTCGGGTCAAAGTTCAGCCCCACCTCCGCTTCCCCCTCGCAGTCCCCGCCTGCGCTGCCGCCGCCTCTGCCGCCGCTTAGGGCCCGGCTCCGCTCCTCCTGCTTCTCCGCCTTCTTTCCTGAGCGCTGCCCGGCCGGCCGCCATGGCGAACGTGGCCGACACGAAACTATACGACATCCTGGGCGTCCCGCCTGGCGCCAGCGAGAACGAGCTGAAGAAGGTATTGGGGCGCGGGCCGGCTGGGCAAGGTGTGAGGGGCACGGGCCTGCGCGACTGGGACGGCCAGGCCGCGCTGCGGGGCAGCCCGCGAGCCGGCGGCGGCCGGCCCAGGCTGGGGGCTGGCGGCGAGACCGGCCCGCGTCGGGCCGTGCACTTCGGCCTCGGCTGACCTTGGGCCGCCGTCCCCGCCCGTCCGCAGATGCAGCAAATAAAACCCACCTCTGCGCAAACACTACGAAAACGCTTCCTTCCTCCCTCCCCCGGCGAGCGCCGGAGGCCGGGCGCTCCCGGGAGGCAGCTGCCTGCCCGGCCTTTCTCACGCGGAGGTCACCACCCTGGAAAAACAGGTTGGACCAAGGCGCCCAGCGCATCCCAGCCCCAGGAGAGGAGTTGACCACCCCGCGGATGTCGGCGCACGAGCCGCGTCGGGACTGATTTGGGGCCTGGTGGAGGGGTCGAGGCCGCCCCCGCTGGCTGCCTGGGGAAGCTTAGGGATGTTGCCTGGGAGCCGCGGCTGCGGAGCTTCTCCCGGCTTCCTCCCTCGCCTGTCGACCCGGAGGTGGCGTGGGTCTGTGTTCGGGTGCTTTGTTCTGTAGGCAGGTAACCCAGATGTTCTCTACCCGCTTCAGGAAGAAGCCATGGGTCCCAGCCAAACACCTGAGTGTACACTGACTAAAAATAAATAGAAGGCCTCATTATCGCTCTTTGCAGGGCTGCGACTCTTTCATCGCAGGATTTCAAAGCATTTGAGACATTTAAGTCCCACAGCATCTTCACGGGGCTTAGAGTATCCGGATTTGTAAGCTTAGAAAAATGAGAATGCTTCTTAGGCAGTGGGACGGGTGCAGTTCAGAGTAAAAGGACTTCCTGTTACCTTACCGGAAATGCTGCTTTGTATTACATAATTCATCTATCTGTGAATGAACGCTTAAGTGGTTTATAGTTCACCCAAATATATGAAGCTTCGCAAAGACTGAAGTCACTCCATTTGAGACCACAGTCAATTCACCGTGTGAAAATAAACATGACATAGGAGCTTGTCTTGACTTCTTCCTGATACTACAATTAGAGGAGCCATCATGAGCCTGGATTCTTACCTTAGCTTAATTTTTAGAGTTTATTGGAGTCTTCCTTGGTGTGGTTACTGGCCATCAAAGACGTTTGACAATAGTGAAAATATAGAATGTTTCAGTGTTTTGTTTTTCTCTGTGGTTTTGTTTTATTGTTTGCATCTGTCTTCAGTATAACCTATTTTCCAATGTAACTACTGTCTGCTTTGTTATTAGTGAGTAAACTGTATTAAGCTGGAAAATGTCCAACAGTGCCAATGGAAGTATTGTTTCTCAGAAATTTGGATGTTAACTTAGTACTCATAAGTCTTTAAAAAACTGGTCTTTATATGTAACCTTTTTTTTTTTTTAATCTTTTATTGAAGGCATACAGAAAGTTAGCCAAAGAATACCATCCTGATAAGAATCCAAATGCTGGTGACAAAGTAAGTTATTTGAGACTTTTTCCCCCCTGAGATTTTTGTTTTAAACTTAAATTGCCCTTCTTGGAAAAAAGGGGAATGTTGTAAGGAAAGTCCATTTATGCCCATAGAGCCACATTTTTATGTTAATATTTTGTACTTTATAATAGGGATACTAACATTCTGGCTAGTCGTAGTTGGTGAATAGGACCCACCTGTAACTTTTCTTAGAATTAAATGAATTCTAGATTCCTATAGCCTTTCCCTAGTCCTTTATTTGAAAATCCAACTGTTTTCCTTTTTCCTTTTTGTTCATAGTTCAAAGAAATAAGTTTTGCATATGAAGTACTATCAAATCCCGAGAAGCGCGAACTATATGACAGATATGGAGAACAAGGTCTTCGGGAAGGTAGCGGTGGAGGTGGTGGCATGGATGATATTTTCTCTCACATTTTTGGTGGAGGATTATTTAGCTTCATGGGTAATCAGAGCAGAAGTCGAAATGGCAGAAGAAGAGGAGAAGACATGATGCATCCACTCAAGTGAATATCTATTTTTTTTTCTTTAAAAATACTAAATACTTTTTTTCCAAGTAGAAGTATTCAGTGCAGGAGAGAAAAGGTATCAAAAAATATTGTTTTTGATCAGTCAAAAAAAAATCTTCCATTTGCCATGCTGTCCTCATTGGCTGACTAAGTTGAATTTAATAACCTGGATGTTGGTATTTGGTGACAGATCTTAAAGGATGGTTGGTGTTTTTACAGAGTGGGAAGATGGTTTTGGTATATGCTTCTGAGGCTTCTTGTTTTTAAAAAATATCAATTAAGAAGATTCTTTTCTCTGAAGTATTTAAACCTTTTGAGTTAGTTTTAATTTAAAAACTTACAAAGTGAGTGACCGTCCGACTGGTTGGTTGACATGTTACAGTCACTTATTACTTGATCCTCAGTGTGAACTCTCCTAAATTGATTTTCATGGAGCTTGCTGGCTTCAAGCCTGACATTAACCTGCCAACATATGAATGGTATCTTACCTTAATCTTAGACTGTGAACCCAATTTGAAAGTAGTATTTGACTTTGCAAATTCTGTGAGATCTTGTATCTGTTAATCTTTCATGAACCAATAATGGTTTTACTAGCAGATGCATGACACTGAAGTTCAAGTGTTTATTTAAAATGTTTCATATTATCTAGTTTATACATTTGAGAAGATAAGGGGACCTTAAAGCATGAATTGTTAAAATTTTCATTACAGTGTTTAATTTTGGATGTCTTTATAATATTACATTTCATGATTTATTTAGCATTCCCTTTTCTATAGGATGTTACCAGTTTTTTTCCTATGATGAATAGTGCTGCTGTATCTTTATATACAGCTTTGTCTCATTGGTAGAGATTCCTGGGGAGGTATCAGTATTTTGAGGCTGCTAAATAAATAGAATTATATTATCTTTAGAGGATGTGTCAGTTTAGCCCCACTGGTGGAGCATGCCAGCTTCACTAGACCATTACCCCCATTTTTCTTTCTTTGCCATGTTTATTGAAATGAGGATTTTTCTTGCTGACCTCTTACCTAGTGGTGTTGCATACTAACGGCGATTTATTAAGTAAGGCAAAGAAGACCTACCTATCATGTAAATGGTTGATTAAAGGTTCTTAGGAGGATAAAAGGCTGATGGAACCAAGTATTTTGGTCTAAGGTCTAGGTATGCTGTAGTTTAGAAGTGTTGGTAATGTTTTGACCTTAAGTGCTTTATTCTTACACTGTCTAGAATGTATAAAAGTTTCAGCTTCGAGTGCTGCAAAATAATGTAGGTGCTTTGCAAGGTAGTTTTAACTTTTTTGTTCCTTTATTTAATTTTTTAAAAAAATATTTTTGTTCCTTTGTATTTGGAAACCTATTCTCTGTTACAGTGTAATAAAGCCAATTTTTTTTTTTTAAAGACATACCCAATCTGAGTGTCTCCCAGAAATTGTAATATAACTTTGTAGCCTTTCTGAATTGTCCTTGAAGGGGGGACAGAGTCTGACAGTGGAGCATGGACTCCGGAGCTGGGCAAGTTACTTAACCTCTCTGTGCCTTGGTTTTGTCCTCTAAAATGAGGATGATAATTTTTCTTCATTCAAAGGGTTGAATTAGGTGAAGGTTTTGTCTAAGGCTGGAAGAAGGTGTGATGTTATGAATTTGTGTAGTTATCAGCTTTATCAGAAAATGCAGCACAGTCAATTACTGGCCTGATCCTTTACATTCTGGCTTTAAACACCACCTGTATTTATAGCCATAAACAATTTGAGTTACAAAATAAAATCTCACTCCATTGACTTAATGTAAGGTGTTCTTGAATTCTTTGTTTAAAAGGTTATAGTGAAATTAGCTGTATCAGCTAATCCTTTCTTGTATTTAAGACAACTTGGCAAAATTTGAATCTAATTCTTTTCTCCACAGAGTATCTTTAGAAGACCTGTATAATGGCAAGACAACCAAACTACAACTTAGCAAGAATGTACTCTGTAGTGCATGCAGTGGGTGAGTGTGTTTTCTGGTTATGAAATTTCATCTGTTCTTTGAGTCACATGTTGAGTCTGTATCAAATAAAATTTATTCGTGATTTCAAACTGACTACCCAACCCAGAACAGTTTCTGATACCTCTGAAAGCTGGTTAAAATACCAGTCTTTGGGGGTTGAAGATGAAGGTAAAAAGCACAATTCCCATTTTTCATGACCTGGGGGGAAAAATCTAATTTATACTTCTCCTTGCTTTAGCCAAGGTGGGAAGTCTGGAGCTGTTCAGAAGTGTAGTGCTTGTCGGGGTCGAGGTGTGCGCATCATGATCAGACAGCTGGCTCCAGGGATGGTACAGCAGATGCAGTCTGTGTGTTCTGACTGTAATGGAGAAGGTATGCATGCCAGTGTTTCTCTGCCTTTCTGTTGGAATGGATTGGGAATGCAGAAATTGGAGAGGCTTACAGTTTTTCTTTTTCAACATGTGTTTATTTTCATTGTATTGTAAAAGGTAGAGAGTTATTTTTAAAAATGGAAAAATATTTCCTTTTGCATAGGCTCAGTGAACACCGATAAACAGTAAATTTATATTATGTTGAGTGGAATATTAGTCTTTTTCCAAAAAGATGGGCAAAGTCTTTTGTCCTTTTGCATTTTTTTTGTTGTTGTTTACTTATCCTTTACATTTTAAAAGGTAAGGGGGAGACAGCAAATTGTTTAGTTCTCATTCTGATAAGTAGAGGATTTTACTGTAAACTTTAGTTAGCTTTTGAGGATAGATCATTGCAGTTGAAACTCATTTTACAGAAGTAAATATTTTAGGTTTTTGTAGGTTAATGGTTTTTGAAACTGCTACTCTTCTACCCTTTTAGCACTTTTATAGCCACAGATAATATGTAAGTAAGTGGGCATGACTGTCTCCTGGATAAACATTATTTACAGAAACAAAGACCATGCCCAGTTTGGCCTGTGAGCCTTAGTTTGCCAGCCCTGTTCTAGAGCAGTGCTATCCAAAAGAATTTTTCTGTGATGGAAAGGTTCTGTATATATAATGTCTACTGTAGTAGCCACTAGCCACCTGGGTGAGGCTGAGGAACTGAGCTTTTAATTAATTTAAATTTATATAACCTCAGGTGGCTAGTGGCTGCTATATTGGACAGTTTTAGAACACCCTTTTCCAAATTGCTTCTGAAAGTGACAAGATAATTTTGAGAAGCCACATATCGTATTTTCCTCCTGAAGAGTCTTAGTGCATTTTGCCTTATTAAAGTTGCTGACATTTCCCACTCAAGAAATTGGAGTTGACTGAAATCTTTTCCCATGTGCCATTACCATTTTAAGGAACTGGTGCTTTGCAGAACATACTTTGCAGAAGCAAAAACGACCTAAAGTCGTTTTATGTCACCTGAGCATTAAAGTGTGCCAATAATCAGCCATTGGAAATTGATGGTATTTTTTTCACAATATACTATTATATGACATCAGTTTTATTTTATTATACCACTGATCAAATATTTCAGAATACATGGAAGAAAAAACTGTTGGAGTCATAAAGGATGTTTAAATTTTTATTTGGGTTGTCGCTCCATTGTTAAATGAAACTAAGACAAAAAATGAAGCATTTGTAGAAGTTCTAGTGTCTGACCACCCATTTTGTTTGCTTGATCCTTAGGCTTTATTTTAACTTTAGGAAGTAGTGTCAGGAGGTAAGATAATGTTATTTAAGATATTTTATACTCTGGAATAGAGTAGCTGGGTCCTTGAGTAATCTACAGTAAGATGTGAGTTTTGTTCGTAAGAATGTTCATGAAAAGTTCAGGTAGCAGTTTAAAGAAGTACAGGAAATTTATTTAGTGAATAAAGGAGTTATCAGGACCTGTCTTACTTAAGAGTGCAATATAGTACCCTTGCTGGAAGTATGAATGACCTCTTTTTCCAGGAGAGGTAATTAATGAAAAGGACCGCTGTAAAAAATGTGAAGGGAAGAAAGTGATTAAAGAAGTCAAGATTCTTGAAGTCCACGTAGACAAAGGCATGAAACATGGACAGAGAATTACATTTACTGGGGAAGCAGACCAGGCCCCAGGAGTGGAACCAGGAGACATTGTTCTTTTGCTACAAGAAAAAGAGCATGAGGTAATTTCCTTTTTGTTTTATTTTTGCCTCAGAAGATCAGAAATGGGTCTTGTATGCAAGATACAGGTTGGTGGTGGTTTTGTTGCTAAGTTATGTCCAATTCTTTCGACCCCATGGACTGTAGCCACCCAGGCTTCTCTGTCCATGGGATTCTCCAGGCAAGAGTGCTGGAGTGGATTGCCATTTCCTTCTCTAGGGGATCTTCCCAACCCAGGAATCCAGCCCAGATCATCTGCATTGTGGGCAAATTCTTTACCCACTGAGCTATGAGGGAAGCCCAAGATACAGGTTGGATCAGTTTGCGTTCCCTGAAGTAGCATTGAATATAGATGAAGTTGTTAAGTGGTTTGGCTGAGTTCATGAGACATGACTTGTTTAGTAGACCAGCGAGACAGGTGCTGTCAGAAGCACGGTAGGAGCTGATCTTGGTCCCAGCTCTGCTGTTGACTGGCACTGTAACCTTAAGTAATCCAGTTGTGTCTGTACCCCTGTTTCCTTGTTTATGAAAATAAGGCGTTGGACCAGATAATGTAGGCAGCTTAGTTTTCACTGTGAACTCCTTTTATGGTTGGTGAGTTAGTGACGCTGTCAGTCCTCAGTACTGCTCTATTGATTTGTTTTACATACTGGGTATCCATGTGAGGTTTTCTTGAAAAAAAAAAAAAGTTCTGCAGTTTTAAAAACATTGCATTCTAAATTTCTCACTCTCTCTTTTGAGGTAGGGAAGGGCAGTGGCGTCTTGTGGCTTGTGGGAGCTTAGTTCCTTGACCAGGAGTTGAACCTGTGCCCACAGCAGTGGAAGTGCCGAGTCCTAACCACGTGATTGCCAGGGAACTCCCTGTTTTTAAATTTCTGGTTGACTCAGTATTGTATCTGTTAATGCAAGAGTCTTCAACCCCTGAACATTGAGTGAAGCTTTATATGCTGCTCCCTATCATTGTGTTTGCATTACTGCCTGAACATTGTTATACCACCTCCACCCCACAGTCCAGGAAGAATTCACAAAACTGGTGCCCAAAAGTTTGCGGACTGCTGTGTTAATGTACATGGGAAAATGAACTGAGCTAACTATGTGGCCTGGAGTATGTTATTTTGATTATACCATTGCATCTGTATTTTTTACATGTGCAGTGGAGTGTATTATAGACCTTTTTATTCATGAAGAACATGGGTGGAGCTTTAGTGCCCACCTAGTTCTTGAATATAGAAGCATTTGACAGAATCCTGGCTTTGTACTTGATCACATTGCCATTTTGAGTTTCTTTGGAAGTCTAGATCACAAGTCAGCCACCTTTTTTAAATTCACAATAAAATTTTCTCCCATATGATGGTGATTTCTACAAATAAATTTTAAAAATTACTAAGAATCCAATAGAGAATAAAGCCATGTTGGGATGCAGATTCTGGGAAATTGATTAGATTCATTCCTTCGCCAGACTGGCTTACTACTACACTAGCCTTTCTCAAGGGATGCTAGTCAAATTTATTTCTCAGCAAATCTATGAAAGTGAAAGTGAAAATCTATAAATTGCAATATATCTTGTCCTTTTGTGAATATTGCGAAACCTACCAATGACAAGGGTTCCTAGATTTCCTTTTTTTTTTTTTAAGGAATAATTTCTAGAATTCTATCTTATGGGTTGAAATATTCTGTAAGTATATTGGGTTTTACAGAATAGAAATCACTTCTTGGAGACAAGAGACTTAAGTTATGACTCCCATGTACTAGTTTTGATCTCCCTGGGCTTGGCTTTGCATACTTAAAATAAAACTCATTCTTCAGAAAGATAGTGTAGAATCAAATGAGATAAAGAATAACCTGCTCTTCTTTCTGGGGACTGTGAGGAGGCATTTGGAAGTAAATCAACCTCTAAAAATTATTGTCTACAGTGGAATTGCATGGAATTTCTAACTAACAGCAGATGCTACTGGTTGTCTAAAGTAGAAAGTAGAAGATGATAAAGGCTAGAATGGAAGTTCATCTAGTAAGAGGTCAAAGATTTTTCCTTCTTGGTTTTATTGACTGGTAAAGTAAATTGGAGCCCAAAATGAGATTTAGGCATCTTGTTTAATTTATACCACTGAGAATATTCTTAACCCTCTTAAGAAAAATTGACTAGTTTGAACTAGTTCATAATCAAGCTTGTATTTTGCTTGGGGCTTTTTGTTTAAAAACTCTCAACGCTTGTAGGAATTGTGAGGCCTTGAGATCAGGGTGGGTTCTGTAGCTTGAAACAGAATGTAAATCTTCTGATTAAAAAAATAGTGCAGTTTTGAGAGTAATATGTATGCATGAGTATCATCTTTCAGTATAGGTATGTGTGTGTTTCGGTGATTTTGCTGTCATAATGCATTTGTACCTCAAAGAACCACAGTGGTGGGTAACAGTGGGTGATACTAGTCTCTTCTCTTTATTTATCAGAAATTATTTCAGCTTTTAAGTATTTTGTGGTTCTTGGTAATCTCATTAGTCTTGTTTTTCAAAAATTTCCTGGCCATGCTTGCCTGTATATTCTCTGTTTGAATTTTAGCATCTAATTGTCTGATCTAACTACCGTTACTGCTGGCCCCCTCCCCAACAAGAAACAACCCTAATACCATTTTTTTAAATTAGTTTGAGTTCCTCTATCCAAGAACATAGTATGTCTTCTTGCTTCTTCTAACATTGCTTTAACTAAATGATACTTGGTCAAGGATGCTTCTTGGAAGAATAATATAATGATATGTTCAGAAACACTTCCATTTTACAAATTTGCAAAAGCGTTAAAAAGTCCTGCATTAGAGAAACTTTACTTAATTTTTTCTCTGATTATAAGAAACACCTCAGTAAACTCATGTAGGTAATATAAATTCAGTGGTTCTTAAGCTTTAGTATACGTTAGAATCCCCTGGAGGGCTTATTAAAATGACAGGTTGCTGGGCCTCACCTTCATAGTTTTTGATGCAGTGGGTATGGGATGGTGCCCAAGAATGTACATTCCTAACCATCTTCCTGGTGCTATAGATATTTGAAAATTCCAAAAAGCAGAAGTTGTAAGATGGGCATGTGTGAAATTGGATGTATTTTTTCCTGCATGTTGAATGCTCAGAAACATTTTTTAAAATGCTTGTTGAATAAACTTTGTATTACATAGTCCATAGGCTTATAGTGCATTAACAAGCCAACTTTATTTAGCATTTGGTTTACATTCATCTAAGCAAGTTTTGTATCTTAGGTTAGGTAACACTTGTTCATACTTAAATGAAGTATGGGGTTTGAGCCCTTTTACTGGTTGAGCTTTTTTAGTTGAGCTTGGGCCTTCCCCTTCCCCTCTTAGAATCATGTCTGGAGGAAATTCCAGGTGAACCTGTCCTACAGAATCCCACTTGGCCTTGTACACCCTTCCCCTCATGGTTCAGAAATGGGCCATAATTGTAAAAGAGACTTGGTTCTGTTTTTGAAGCTTCAGCTGTGCCTTATGAGCAATTGTATTTCCAATTCCAGTTCTTTCGTGATCGAAGTTTCTAGCATATTACTTGAGAATAGCTAGATTTCCTTATATATATTGATAAATTCAGGGAACTTTGGGATTGTGGCAATTAGACTTTTGCAGTAGATGGTAGAATTAAGGTTTTGAAGTTGATTCAGTTAACACAGCACAGCAGAGCATGCCTCCATAGTTGCGCTGTTTCTCGTGTGCTTCCTCTGTAGGTGTTCCAGAGAGACGGGAATGATTTGCACATGACGTATAAGATAGGACTTGTTGAAGCTCTTTGTGGATTTCAGTTCACATTTAAGCACCTTGATGGACGTCAGATTGTGGTGAAATACCCCCCTGGCAAAGTAATTGAACCAGGTAAATCTTGATTTTTGTCTGATCTAAGATTCTATGTAATCTTCTACAGTGGGTGACTCTCAAAAAATATTTATTATTGAGCACTTTCTTGGGTAAAATTCTTAATATTTTCCCCTTTATTTACTCAAATAATAGGATGTGTTCGTGTTGTTCGAGGTGAAGGAATGCCACAATATCGTAATCCTTTTGAAAAAGGTGATCTTTACATAAAGTTTGATGTGCAGTTTCCTGAAAACAACTGGATCAACCCAGATAAACTTTCTGTAAGTATTAGGCAACAGATGACTTAAAGTTTAATAATAGTTGTTTCTTTGTCACTTTCCATTTGTTTTGAGTGCTAAGATTAGATCACATAGTTTATTAATTTGAGTGATTGATTGTCTGGCCTCATTGTTTTTTAAAGTGGAAATAGCTGATGTAAAAGTTTATGGGGCCAAGTCCAGACTAGTGAAGGCATAAGCAGACGGTGTGAGGTGGTGGTAGGAGGATTGGGACTCTTACCCCAGCTTAGCATCTGCTGGTCGTTCATGCAGGAAGATGTATCTAATGTGAAGTTTTCCAGTGTTTAAATGTTAGCGATTAAATCTGTTCATTGCTTTCTAATCAATAGATGGGTTGCACAAAAGATGTCTAGATTTGGTCTGTGGGTCATCCATTTGTGATCTCTGGCTTAAAGTGCAAAGATTTTAACTGTCAAACATATACCTTGGATTGTATCAAAAGGGAAATTGATAGATGATAATCTTCCAGCTAATCTTATTTTTGTTCCTTTTAATGAAGGAATTAGAAGATCTTCTGCCATCTAGACCAGAAGTTCCAAATATTATTGGAGACACAGAGGAGGTAGAGCTTCAAGAATTTGACAGCACGCGGGGCTCAGGAGGTGGTCAGAGGCGTGAGGCCTATAATGATAGCTCTGATGAAGAAAGCAGTAGCCATCACGGACCGGGAGTGCAATGTGCCCATCAGTAAACTCTGCAAACAAACTGCACAGGTGGATTTTCTTTCCACACTGGCCTGGTTTGTTTTCTGCAATCCAGCTGGAGCGTCTGGTCAACCCAGATGAACTGATGGACATCTGTTGGTCTATGTGTAACTTTTAAAATTGGTATAGTATCTACAGAGTGTATAATTTAAACTAACCACAAAGCTTTACATCTTTTTTTTTTTTTACCATCTTGTGAAAGGTTTCTGGAACTGAATAATAAAAAGCAGTTGGTGTAAATTACTCTTTGTCTTACATTTTTAGAAAGAAGAACATATTTTGAACTGTAAAATCTATCCTTAAACTGGAGAATGTATCCTAGTTCTGATTCTTAAACAGTGTTTAAAAACCCATTGGCCTGAAGCTTATGCCTCAGGCCCATGCCCATTTTATAGTTTCGAAAGACAAGAGAAAGTTTGATATATTGGTAGAAATGGGCTTTATTGGCCTCAATTAATGCTTTGTAGAGTCAAGGACATCTAAGTTACATAACTTATGATCCTGAGTATTGGGGCCAAGTTAACCTGGCATCTGTATTTCCCCGCCCCACTCTGTTTAAAAAAATAAGGTAACAGCAAATCAATATTAGAACCATGTCTGCATAGAACCTGTTAAAATGCTCTGTTTTCATTAAATGTTAAGTTAAAGATTTTCTTGTCTCCATTAAGTTGAATATTTGAGATGGGGGGAAGCATTGATTACTATTGTTTTACAGAAAGGTAAGACTCTTAGGCTGGTGTGAGAAAAATCGGGTAAAACTATGAAAAGGGTGTTGTATTGCTCACTCATCTTCCGTGCTTTTCATTCCCAGAGTAGATATTTTTAGAACACTTATTTTAGGGAAAAGATTCATCAGTTGTAGATAGTTTGTAAGAGACAGATGGGAGAAAACTGAAAACTAAAAATTTTAAATGTATTATGCCATCCCTGAGCCTAATTGTAGTACTTGTAGTCTATTTCTAGGTCTTCTAGAACCTGAATGAAAAAGAAAAAAAAGGTGTCCTGACATTAATCAAGCCCTGTGAGGTTTAAATTATTGCCCTATCCACTCTACCTCCATTGTACGAAAACTTTTACAACCAGCCTGGGCAAGATGCAACAGCATAGTAGTTTTGTATCCAAGGTTACTTCCCCCACAACACTTTAAGCAAAAGAAATGCAGTGGCAATACAAAGTTTGTAGCCTTTCCAATAAAGGTTTGTAAAACAATTGTACAGTGTAGTCTTTCTTTGAGTTCTTCTATCCAGATTTTTGGATTGTAATAGCGAACTATGTCAAAGTAGCTTAGTCATGTCCGACTGTGACCCCATGGACTATACAGTCCATGGAATTCTCCAGGCCAGAATACTGGAATGGGTAGTTCCCTTCACCAGGGCATCTTCCCAACCCAGGGACCGAACCCAGGTCTTCCATATTGCAGGTAGATTCTTTACCAGCTGAACCACCAGGGAACCCCAAGAATACTGAAGTTTGTAGCCTATCCCTTCTCCAGGGGATCTTCCTGACCTAGCAGTCAAACCAGGGTTTCCCACATCACAGGAGGATTCTTTACCACCTGAGCCATGAGAGAAGTGAACTGTAGAAGGGGAATAAAACCTTAAGGTTCTTTTACTGAATCTACTGGCTCTGTTGTGGAGCATCTGTCTAAAGAATAAGCATGTATCATCAGTACAAAGAACCTTTTATAACAGCTTTATTGAAATATACCATTAAATCTGCTTTTTTTTTTTTTAACTTGCTTTCACTTTATTTTCCAAAGATATTTCAATATTAATACAAAGAAACTTTTTTTTTCTTTTATAACATTTTTTTTTAATTTTATTTTTTTTTGAGCTTGTGATATAGTTTTTTTTTTTTTCCATTTATTTTTATTAGTTGGAGGCTAATTACTTTACATCATTACAGTAGTTTTTGTCATACATTGAAATGAATTAGCCATGGATTTACATGTATTCCCCATCCCGGTCCCCCCTCCCACCTCCCTCTCCACCCGATCCCTCTGGGTCTTCCCAGTGCACCAGGCCCGAGCACTTGTCTCATGCACCCAACCTGGGCTGGTGATCTGTTTCACCCTAGATAATATACATGTTTCAATGCTGTTCTCTTGAAACATCCCACCCTCGCCTTCTCCCAGAGTCCACAAGTCTGTTCTATACATCTGAGTCTCTTTTTCTGTTTTGCATATAGGGTTATCGTTACCATCTTTCTAAAGTCCATATATATGTGTTAGTATACTGTAATGGTCTTTATCTTTCTGGCTTACTTCGCTCTGTATAATGGGCTCCAGTTTCATCCATCTCATTAGAACTGATTCAAATGAATTCTTTTTAATGGCTGAGTAATATTCCATGGTGTATATGTACCACAGCTTCCTCATCCATTCGTCTGCTGATGGGCATCTGGGTTGCTTCCATGTCCTGGCTATTATAAACAGTGCTGCGATGAACATTGGGGTGCACGTGTCTCTTTCAGATCTGGTTTCCTCGGTGTGTATGCCCAGAAGTGGGATTGCTGGGTCATATGGCAGTTCTATTTCCAGCTTTTTAAGAAATCTCCACACTGTTTTCCATAGCGGCTGTACTAATTTGCATTCCCACCAACAGTGTAAGAGGGTTCCCTTTTCTCCACACCCTCTCCAGCATTTATTGCTTGTAGACTTTTGGATAGCAGCCATCCTGACTAAATCTGCTTTTTAAAGAAAAGTGCAGGGGATTCCCTGGTGGTTCAGTGGTTAGGACTCCATACTTCCAGTGTTGGGGTCCTGGCTTCAATCTGTAGACTGAAAACTAAGATCCCACAAGCCACATGGCCAAATAAAAGGTGTGCAATTCTGTGGTATTTAGTGTATTCACAGATTTGCAACCATCACCACTGATTCCAGAACATTTTCATTACCCCAGGAAAGAAACAAAGTCTGTTAGTATTTGCTCCTCATTCTATTCCCTGTCCCTTTGGTGTAGTCTCTAGTTTCTAAGTATTTGCCTATTTCAGACATTGTCTACAAAATGGAATAAAGAGTATTGTGGCCATTTTGACATGTTCATTTAGTATGTTACCAGTTGATCCCCATCATAGCATGTATCCATATTTCATTTTTATAACAAAATAATACTCCATTGTATAAAATACCATGTTTGTTTACCCATCCATCAGTTGGTGAACATTTGAATTTTTTCCATTTGGAATAATGCTGCTATGAACATAAACATACAGATTTTTGTGGGGGCATGTTTTTAAGTTCTTTTGGATAAATCTAGGAGTGGAATTAGTGGTTCACGTGGTTTTAATCTTTTGAAGATCTGTCAAACTTCCAAAAAGTATTCACCATTTTACAGTACAACAATATTTAAAGACTTCAGTTTTTCCATGTAATGACCAACATTTGCTGTATTTTAGTATAGCTGTCCTAGTGGGTGTGATTTACATTTGCCTAATGAGTATTATGATGTTATATTTTAAACATCTTTTTGTGTGCTTACTGACCATTTGTGTTTTGGGAGAAATGTCTATTCAAATCCTTTTCCCATACTTTTTATTCATTCAGTTCAGTTCAGTCGCTCAGTTGTGTCCGACTCTTTGCGACCCCATGAATCGCAGCACACCAGGCCTCGCTGTCCATCACTAACTCCCGGAGTTCACTCAAACTCATATTCGTCGAGTCGGTGATGCCATCCAGCCATCTCATCCTCTGTCGTCCCTCCTCCTCCTGCCTCCAATCCCTCCCAGCGTCAGGGTCTTTTCCAATGAGTCAGATTTTCTTATTTTCTAACATTTTTCTGTTCCAGGACACCATATTACTTTAGTCATATCTGCATAGGTTCTTCTTGGCTGTAACGGTTCTCGGAATTTCTTTTTGATTGATGACTTGAAATTTTTGAGGAGTCAAGTATTTTATAAAATGAACAATGTATATTAATATTACATATGTAAAAGTTAATTCTAATAGTACTAGTTGCAGGAATGAATCAGTATAATGCTTAAAAGAAAAGCCTGTTTCTTATACTCGAAACACTTTGACATTACCTGAAGTTAGACTCTGCAGGTTAAGGGCTCAGGTCCCACAAGACTACCTGGTCTTCAGACACTAATCATAGTTCCAGGTTGTCATTTGTACTGACCAAGTGGTTATAAATCAAGGGTACCCACAACCCTCTCCTCAGTTCAATAATTTGCTAGAATGGCTCATAGAATTCAGGAACACGTACTAGATTAGTGGCTTATTACAAGTGATACAACCCAGGAACAGCGCAATGGAACAGGACATAATCATTGGCCATTGATGACTGAACTCAGTCTCAGCCGCTCGCCCTTTCCCAGAGGTCTAGGGGTGAGATGGAAAGGTCCAACCTTCTTACCATATTGTTGGTTCCCTCTGGTAAGCAACCTCGTCATTAACATAAACTCGGGAGTGATTGAAAAGGGCTTATTATAAATTTAAAAAGATACTCCACTAACTCCTATTGGAAAGCTCCAAGGGCTTAGGGAGCTCTGCCAAGAACCAGGGATGAAAACCAAATAGATTTTTCTTATTCTATCAAAATATCAGTGTTATTTTGTGAAACACAAAAGCATATTATAAACTTTGTCAAGGCACATGTGTAAAAGTTATTTCCAGTACTTTTGCATGAATGAATCAGTGTGGTGGTACTTTGGTAGAAACCTTGCTCCTATCATCTGCCAACTTTCTGCTTAGTTGTTCAATTCTAGTATACATGTATGGTAGTATCCATTGTTAGCCCATACCCACATGGGAAAAAAGAGTACTCTAGGTCAACTAGAGTACAGTGCTAAGCATAGTTTCTTTTGCCTTTAATTTTACAGACTCTATTTTCAAAGTTATTTAGGCCAACACATTTGCCCCCACCCCCTGCCTTGAGAACTGTTTCATATGTTTGTAATACAGTTAAATTCTGTGCTTGCCTTCTACAAGTATTCTACATTCTATCCTAGGTGCCACCCCACCAACCACCTCCTAAATGATTTTTAAAAACCTCCATACAGGGGTACCCTGGTTGTCCAGTGGTTTTTAGGATTTCACTTTCACTACTGAAGACATGAATTCAATCCCTGGTTGGGGAACTAAGATCTTGCAAGCTGCACTGTATAGTCAAAAATAAATAAATTCTGGGTTCTTTGCTGGTGGTACAGTGGTTTAGAATCCACCTTCCAAAGCTGGGG